GAAGGGCACGGAAGATAACCAGAGATCCTGTCCAGCTAGTCATATACTTCTCTGTAACAAGCTTCCTGTATCTATGTTGTTAAGATCATGCTAATTCCTTAATCCTGCACAACCTGCTGAAGCTTTGGCTCCATCAAGGAATCACAAAATCACAGAATGGTTGAGGTCAGAAGGGACTTCTGGAGGTCATAGAATCGTAGAATGTTTGGGTTGGAGGGGACCTTTAAAGGCCATCTAGTCCAACTCCCCTGCAGTTAGCAGGGACATCTTTCACTAGATCAGGTTGCTCAGAGCCCCGTCCAACCTGACCTGGAGTGTTTCCAGAGATATGGGGCATCTACCACCTCTCTGGGCAGCCTGTGCCAGTGCCTCCCCACCCTCATTGTGAAAAATTTCTTCCGTAGATCTAGTCTAAACCTGCCCTCTTTTATTTTAAAACCATTTTCCCTTGTCCTATCACTACAAGCCCTGCTAAAAAGTCCGTCCCCATTTTTCTTATAAGCCCCCTTGAAGTACTGGAAGGCTGCAATAAGGTCTTCCCAGAGCCTTCTCTTCCCCAGGTTGAACAACCCCAACTCTCTCAGCCTGTCCTCACAGGAGGGGTGTTCCATCCCTCTGATCATTTTTGTGGCCCTCCTCTGGACCCAATCCAACAGGTCCATGTCTTTCCTGTGTTGTCATCTGGTCTAACACCCCTGCTCAAGCAGGGACACTTAGACCTGGTTGCACAGGACCATGTTCAAACAACATCTGAATTCTCTCCAAGGATGGAGACTCCACAACCTCTCTGGGCAGCCTGTGCCAGTGCTTGGTCACCCTCGCAGTGAAGAAGTGTTTCCTGATGTTCAGAGGGAACCTCCCCTGTTCCAGTTTGTGCCCATGGCCTCTTGCCCTGTCACTAGGCACCACTGAAGAGCCTGGCTCTTGTCTTCTGTACACCCTCCCTTCAGGTATTTATATGGTTCAAGAGACCACTGTCTTCCACAGCACTACCACTGCCTATTGATCTTCCCTTCACAATCTTCAGCAGAGCTATCACCGAAGGGAGCAGCTAGCCTTCGGTGAGTCCTTCGCACTTCCCTTATCCCTTGGTTGAGGGAAGGGAGTGAAACAGGCTGTCCTTGAGGGGCTAGGCAGATGTGATGAAGGGCCATCTTGGCTGGCAGGAGAAGGGCACCACAGGGGAAAGAACACTTACCAACCTCTTGTGTCTGTATGACATCCCAGTACTTTGCTGAGAGAACGCTGCAAGCGTTCAAATACAGCATGATTTTGCTCAGTTAGGCTAAGGGGCATAGTTGCAGTAAGCAGCACTGTACAAATTCTCCTAACCAAAATTACAGTAAAACTACCTGCAGTCCAACCACATACTGATGGTCTCCTTTGTCAATGGTGAGGCTATTTACAGCCTCATTATCACAAAATAATTGCAAGATTTTTTTATTTTTTAATAAATGGAAAATAGTTTATTACAAAATAATTGTTGTGGAAATCCAGTACCACCACCATCCTTTCATTTAATCTGTTTTCTGCCCTGAGGTGAGATTGTGTGATAGAAGTAGCAATATTAGTTTATTCACAGGTTTGGAAGGCCAAGTGATCTTGCAGCTGCCTAATCCTGAGGACAGAACACGAAAACCCAGCAGATCCACCCCTGTTTGTTCAGCTGAACCTAGTAAGTCACAGACAAACAGATTCTCTCCCCAACACAAGTAACAATATTCTGTGGGGAAGTTGATGATTTGAGGACAAAATGAAATTTTACAGATTCCCAGGCATCTTGGATGTTGCGATAGCCTGTAATCCACCAGCCTTTAGTTCTCTGACTGAGTCATACATTAGGGAAAAACTAAGAATCTGAGGTCTTACTTTTCCAGCCATTTTAAACTGAAAGCAGGTGAGAAGTGAGAAAGGGGGATGTAAACATGGTTTTTTTTTCAAAATCATTGGGCTGTACAGCTTCCTGCCTGTACCCAGCTCATTGTGCTAAATTTCACTTGAGATCTATGCAGGGACAGACAATGCTTGTATTGTCCAGACAAATATAATGTGATAACCAAATCCCAAGGCTTAGTTTTCATCTGGTTTACAAGTTCCACTGATTAATGCTGGCAAGGGATTATAACTTTTTATGAAAACATCATTTACAGATGCTTGAGGGCAGGCTGGATGTCTGCTTTAATTATAGATAGAATCACTAGATGGAGCCAGAGCCATCTCTTCAGGAAAGCATCTCATAACTTGGACTATCCTGGATATGTCAAAATTTCCTACTTCAAAAAGATCTCAGTTCAGTTTCCAAGCACAGAATTTCATCTGCATGCATATGTAACTACAGGATCACTGCATTGCTAAATTAATGGTGCAGTTTTAGTGTGATGATAATTTTTGTGCAAATTGCATGTAGTTGTAATATTATCATGCTTTTACATTAAGTCTAGCTGACCAAAGGCTTTAGATTCTCATAGATTGCAAGGACATTATTAGAAAAGAAAAAGAAAGAGAAAATATTCTTACTTTTAGTTTCAAGGTAATACTCAGCTGAAAAAAGAATAACTGGCAGTAAACTGAACTCGTTGGCCCTGGTATAGAAAAGAGGCAAGATGACTTTCAAAGGAACAGAGGAGTGAACAGGACTTCTATGTTCAGTTTAGAAGCAGGAGAGAGGGCCTTTCGTAATGATCTAAACTGTTGTAGATTGATCTGAGCGTCTCTCCATTACCTGGTGCTCCACGTGCACACCATACTGCCAGCGGCACCTGGATGGCACCTTGTGGGCTTCAGCAGTGCTCATGGTGGATTGGAGGGCCTTTGTAGCCCAGAAACAAGCAGCTGACAGGAGAGACCAACGTCTGTCCTCTGGTAGGAGGAGGACAGGAAGAAACCTCCCTCCCAAGATCCCCTTCACCATCCCAGCCTGACCAGCAGTCACCAATGCCAGCAAGAGGCCATCCTCCCGTACATTTTAAAATGTCCCATCACAGCTGAGGGCCTTATCACCTTTGCCAATGCCCAAACACAGTTTCTGGGGTAGAGCATGACAGCAGAAGAGAACAGAAACTATATCCGCTAGACAAGGGACCTTGGCACTGTTGGTGGTACAGCAAGAGGCAGAGTCAGCAGGTGGATCTAGTAAAAGTAGGTGATGTCATGACCATCGCATACATGTTCTGGAGGCAGATGGAGCCACATCCAACCACCAATAGAGGAACAGGTAAAGCAATTAGAGCTAAAAGCCAACGGCTGGGCTGCAAGTGTGACTACTGCCTTGGACTGGGGTTGTGTCAGGGTGAGTGCTTCACCTCCTCCTTCCCTTTACTTGCCAAGGGAGGTGAGAGTTTGAGATTGTTGGTAGTGCTTCATGCGTCTTTTCATCAAGGACATGACAGGACCAAAAGTGTCTTGCACCCAGCTTGATGTGCTCATGGAGAAAGAGAAAGTGGCCAGTCTCCTTCCACTGACCACTTTGGTTTGGTCTTTTTTAAACAAATAATTTATTAGAGAAAAAAATGGTGATCTTACTGGGAGAGTTTCAAAACACAGGAAACTACTGTAAAAGAAAAGAGGAAGAAAAGAAAACTTGTTCAGTTCCCTCTCTGTCCACATCTCCTGTGCCTCTGAGGGCTATTTATTAGTCTGTGTTAAGCCTGTCCAATAAGAATAATTGGAGGCCCCTTTTTTGTTTCTTCCCCAAAAGATCCAAAACACCAGAAGCCCCCCGTCCCTTTTTTTGCCTCCTACAGCTGCCCCTACCTTCATGAAATTGGTCAATAAATCATGGCAGGGCTAAGAGAAGGGTGTGGAGAGTTAGTAATGCATGGACATCCATAAACACGTGCACACAGAAAAATATATAATTATATGCCTCCTGTTAATAACCTAAATAGGTATAGCTGTGACGGTGCTGGAGGGCTATAGCTCCTTCAGCCTATGCGAATTAGGTGTACGAATTGTTACGAGACTCTCTGAAGCAGATCAAGGGTGTTACTTGAGAAAGCCATCATGCAAACAGAGAAGGCAACGCCAAAATGACAATTTCAAGAAGTGTTCA